TATATGTTAAAACACAATATACTCGCGCGCGACGACGCGACAAAATGGGTGTCCTCCCCGGGCAAAATCGCGTTCCAGACGCGTTGGCGCAGTTCGTTTCGTCATCCGGGGTCGCTCAAACGACGTCGTCGTCGACAATCGGGTCAAAAACGCGTCGAAATTCAAATTTCACAAAATCTCGACCCGCGGTCGATCGTCCCAAAAGGTTTAATTGAGCATTCGACAAGTAACAATGCAGGCAATGCGAATTGCGGCGATCGGATACGTCGACTCCCCGAATTGCGAAGCTTGTGCGCGCGGGAGTACGAATTGTGCAGAAGGTCACCCTAAGGCTCAGAAAGGTCCTATAGGAATCCCTTTTGGGCTTCCTCATGTCGGTTTCATCCTTCTAAGTGCTAGAAGTCGATACCACACACTCGAAGCTTCAAAAGACGACGGAAGTAGGTCGAACTAAAACGAGGCGGGTCCCTGGAAGCTCCAAAAGAGGACGGAAGTAGGTCGAACTAAAACGAGGCGGGGCCCACTTCTAAGGGTCTAAGATAGTCGCAGGAAGACCCCTAAGGCTAGATCCTCTACTACGAGAAATACTAGACCTCACGAAAATTGAGGTCAATAGTAACCGACCACACTTTGTGCGAAAAAGGCTTCGTTATTGTTGTGTTATTGTATAATAATGAGCTTATCAAAAAATTCTATGAGGTATTACTCCAATTTCTGTCCACAAAATGACGCGAGAGTTTATTCTCGCATAGTTTTCTCGTGACATTGTAGCTGCTATAGTACATAGGGAAAACAAATAGCGGGAGATGGGAGACAAGAGAAGGGAGTCGGGGCCCCAAAACAGTCCCGTTTTCCTTTCTCATTATTTCTTTCCTATTATCCTTCGTTTCTTTTTAGTTCTTCCCTATATATGTGTGTATTATGGTTTTGATTAGTAGTTTTTGGTAAGTTTTATTTTAGATTTTTTGTTTGGTGATTGCAATCTCACATCGCTCTCCGTCGTCGTACCTCACTACAACCACCCGCAACAACAACCAATTGTTGTTTTCTGCAGTTCCAGTCACCACCATCACCTTCTCCTACCTTCTCCTTGCTGTCGTCACTATCACAGCCCTCCACCTTCACTGTCGCAGCACGCAACACCTTCCCTTTGTTGTTTTCCTGCTATACAGGAACCCCAAACAGCAACCTACTGCTGTTTGGACTGCCGCCCAGTGCAGTCATACTGTTCTATCTGCCCATAACCATCGCCACCCCTCATTCACAGTCCAAAAGCTCGTTCCCTACCTTGTTGCCACCTCTCTGAGCCCCCTAACTCTCACCACCATCACCCAGGATCAGCCCTCACGCGAGTTGTGTGTCGTGTGTGTTGTATTATCCCTTTCAAGTGCGTTGATTCTAACCGTCTATTTGCTTCTGGAAATAATATTTACTTTTCCTCATTCACAGTAGCGCAAAAGCTTCCAAAAAGCTTCCAAACAATTTTTCCATACACAATTCTAAAAGCAAGGGACATTTACACATACAACACACAATTCTTATGTATTTACATATCTCATACCTAAACTTCTATATTTATACATAGCACACTTCGGTGTTTTAAGCCTATGGATGAAAGGGTGTATTTCACTTTTAAAAATTGATAATGGTTTTACTTTTTATGTGATATTAAAGATTTGATTGTTATGTATGTAAATATGAAAGTTTAGGTGTGAGATATGTAAATACATAAGAATTGTGAATTACGCATGTAAATTTCCCAAAAGTAAAAAGCTCATGATTCTTCCAAACTGAAATACCAGCAGATGACATAAAAATGTAAAATGGGGACAAGATAAAAAACTTACTAGGCCTCTCAAATGAAGCAATGTTGTAAGTAGGACTAATGTACATGCGAACACAACTATACAGAGATTAACCAATTAACAACTGCTGCTCTCGACCAATTTCTGAAAGAGAAGGCGATGCTGACCCATTGTGTTTGCTGGGAGCTGGTGTGTTCCTGCGAGACGACCTCTTGGTAGGCACCAGCACATTCTCAAACTCTCCATCCTTGTCAACACAAGAAAAGCTGTCATCTTCCTCCACTTCCTTGAATACTGGGTGGATGTATGCGCTTAGAAGATAATTTTTTAAGTCCAGGTTTGGTTCCTTGGCACGTTCCAAGGTATCTTTCATCATGGCTTCCTGTTAGTGAAAAGCATCAACAAAATGTATCCATACAAAAGAAACAAGCTTAATTTTACTAGCAGTATTATTGACATTTTATAGGTTTAAATGAAGAACTACGCCATTGATTAATCTAATGCTTGCCGGTTTTAGAAGTTGAAAAGGTATATTGTTTGCGATCAATTATGTTTTTTTCTTTTATTTTTAAAAACACATTTGTTTAGTATATTTTTATATATTTTTATATTTTTTGTTTCTAAAAATAAATTAATAATTTTTTGAAAATACTCAAAACAACTTTTAGTGTTTTAAAAACAATCATACGTTAATCAAATAGCCAAAGGGTGCACTCCGCCTCAACCTTCGACGAGGAAGATCTACGAGAGTGGCTCGAGGCAAACGGTGAAGGAGTCAGACTGGCTTTAGATCTGGCCGAGGAGAACAGAGCAAACGTAACCCTCAGGCAAGAAGAGGTTAAGCGAAAGACCACCAGGTACTTCAACAAGCACGTGCGCGCAAAGAAGTTTGCTCCAGAGGACCTCGCGCTAAAAAAAGCCGACCTCGCCACCAAAGGGCGAGCTATCGGGAAGTTGAAGCAAAACTAGAACGGTTCCTACATTATCCATCAGAGAGTGGGACCAGAAGCCTACAAACTAAAGACAAGAAGGGAACGACATCCCTCGAACCTGGAGTGGCGATGAACTAAAATGATTCTTCCCCTAGAGATATCACAATTTTCTGTAAAACATTTTTTATCTTTCAAAAGCTCAATGCAACAAAGTTACATTTTTTATATTTCATCTAAAAATTCAAGATTAGGCATATGTGATATCACTAACAAAGCTTTCTACTATTGTTTTTACGCTCGTGGAACTTGTGTGAGTACACTCCGAGAATTAACGCAATTATGCCAGGGGGAACTGACTCGGTCGCGTTCAAGAAGCAGGCTTCATGAATGGCTAAGAGACGTACCAATCCAACATCTACATGTGGCTTGTGAGACGTATCGACAACAGGCAGCAACAAGCTCCGCAAGAGGTGTGTGAACGGTCATCCTACGCCCTATTCTGAATTTTAGCACTTAGCAGCAACAAGCTCCGCGAGGGATGTCTAACTACAACATATGACATATGGGACGTATCGGCACGCGACAAAAACACCATGAGGGGAGTGCTAACGATCGTCCTAAGTCCAACTTTAACGAAGATCATCATGTGTCCTATGGAACGTACTGATACCCAACAACGACAAACACAACAAGAGGTGTGCGAACGGTCGTTGGACCCTATTCTAAATGTTAACACCAGACAGCGACAAGCTCCGCAAGAGTTGCCTAACTACTACATGTGTCCTATGGGATGTATCAACACCTAGCAGCGACAAATTCCGCAAGGGGTTTGCAAACGATCTTCCTTTGGCCAAGTTTAATAGATATCATGTCTTATAGGCCTATCAGCACCCGGCAGCGACAAGCTCCGCAAGAGATTTGCAAACAGTCGTCTTTAGCTCTATTCTAAATGTTAGCACCCAACAAAGACAAGTTTTGCGAGGGGTGTCTAATTATTACTTATGGCCTATGGGACATTGTTGACATCAATTTCTGATGTCACGAGTGTACGGTGTCCACCTGCATAACTCAAGATCGACTACGACACATCTGTATCATCTGGTAATTCAAACACCCATCCAGGACCTTTCAGTGCGTGTTGAGGGACACGTAGCTAGGTTCATCCAGCTATACTTTAGCTTTCGCCCAGAAGAAGGCCGGTCGGCATTTTTGCTCGTCAGATGACTTCAATTGGATCAACGAATATTACTCGCCGCGCCGCGCGAGAAATTGGCTCGAATTAGCCCAATCACCGACGAAGTTGTCCAGATGGTCCCGGATGGCGAAACGTACCGCGTCAGCACGTCCGGAATGTCAATTTTACCAGGGAACGACACTCATATTGTTAGGATTTCGTGCACGTTCGAAAAGTGCGCAAATCAAGGATTTCGATTAATAAATAAATAACATTATTATTATTATAATAATAAAATTATAAATCCTATATAAAAACCTATGCTACAGCCTCTCCCTATCCTCTGCATCTCCTCGCAGCTGCTAGGACCCGTTCGTGAACCCTAGCCCGGAGCTCCCTCTCTCTCCTCGTCGGCGCATCCCCCGACGCATGTCCTCGTCCTTGCCGGTGAAACTCGGCGCTGCCGCCTCCGACGTCCTTCCAGCCGCTGGCCGAGACTAAGCTGCCACCTTCTCTGCTTTTCTCTCGGCCAGCCACACCGGAGGAGTTAACTAAATGGGAAAAATATTGCAGATAACCCATTTCACGACGTCGTGGAGAGTTTCCCCCTCGGAGATCCGGGGAGAAACTCCCCACATTTCCTCACCAGAGCAAGAGGCGGCAATACCGCATATCCAAAAGTCTAAACCTTAGGTTTCCCAGGTGAGGTAGTTAGCACGAACACGGCTCCTGGTTTGTTATTTGTATGTTGGTTTGCTGCATATTGTATTTTTGCTTGGTGCATGTTGCATTCCACTTTGTTTCGCTCGGCTGCCCCGACCCGGTGAGCATTTCACTTCGCTCCAATCGGCCGTCCCGGCCCGACGAGCATTTCACTTCGCCCCGACTGGCCACCACGACCCGACGAGCATTTTACTTTGCTCCGATCGACCACCCTAGCTCGACGAGCATTTCACTTCACTCCGATCGACCACCCCGGCTCGACGAGCATTTCACTTCGCTCCGATCGACCATGACACGCCTATCTCTTTCGATCACTGCAGCCTCGGCACACCTTCCTCGGGCAGCTACCGCCACGCCAAGCCCAACACTGTTCACCCATCACTTTTGGTCCTACCACCTCGACACACCTTCTTGGGGCCGCTGCCATCACGACACGCCCATCCCTTTCGGTCACTGCCGCCTCGGCACACCTCCGGTTATTGCCGCCTTGACATACTATCTTCGGGTCACCGCCGTCGCAACATGCCCATCTCCGGGTCACTGCAGCTACGACACACTCATTTGTTCGGGCTGTTGTCTCTACGACATGCCCATCTTTTCCTGAGTCATTATCGCACGGTACACTCATCACCTTTGTCATATGACTGTCTGCACCTGCATTTGCATGTTTGCATAGATAGCGAGCCAGACTCGTTAATAGAGTGACCCCGTGTCGGTCGCGATGTCTTAACGAGCATTGATTGCTAGGTTGATTTTGGTGAGCAATGCGAGAATTAAATCATCGGGATTGACACGAGTATGACCGTGCAAAAGATCTAATAGATCTAACTCATGTCACCCCTCTTCGTGACACCCTTTAAATCCTTCGGATCTTTAGGATGGGGCCTGTATGACAACCCCATTAAAGTCATATTATACCTGGACTTACCCGCACTTAGATACTAGGTCGACACACTTATTGTTAGATGGTGTGCTAGGCTATGATTTAGGGTGCTAGGTAGCCTTTTTTATGTCTGGTTATTGTTCTTTGTTGGATTGGTTGCCCTAGCCATGTATCTTTCTTTTGCATTATGTGTGTGGTGTGTCTGCATGTTTCATATGTATGGTAGTGTGCTAGGGCGTTCTTCTGCAGGGAGTCGTGTCTATTTATATGCACACACACAGGTACCGCTATGGGGAAACAAGTAATGATTTCTGACTCTTTTGTTTGCATGTGTTATTTAGCTCCCCTGCTTTCAAGGCATGACTCATGATATGTCATTTACATGTGAGTTTTTCCGCTGACACTTGTTTACATGCAAGATTGAGTATTTTTCTTTTCTCTATGTACTTTTAGAGTCTAGGAGAGTCCTACAGTAGAAATGAGATATGGGCACGGGTTCCGAGGCGTTTGACGTAGAAATCACATGGAGAGGACCAAGAACAGATGCTCGTGCCCCGTATCTTAATTTTGCATTTTATATTGATGTATAGAGTTATGACAGGGCATGTATATGCAGAGTCCGACCGTCTTTTTCTTTTCTGGGATATGTTACCGACCCAACGACACCGGTCTGTTTATTATTTTAATTTGGCTTATTTTGCTTTTTGCATCATGTTGCACGCCTGCACTTGCATGTGTTTTTTCTTGTTTCTTTCTGTGGTTTATCTGAGATTTCACGATGAAACATGGGCTCATTAGGACTTAAATTCCTAATTTTTAACTTAAAAATCCTCAATAAAATATTCAAGATAATTAAATTTTAGGATTAAAATATTTAAAATTTAAAAATTGTAACATTTGCTTTCTTGCACATATTAATAGAGCCTCCACAATACTTAAGAACCGAGGACCGCTCTAGATAACTGCAATCATATTTGCATGTCCCGAGGAGTCCCCGTGCTTCTCCAACCTAACTGACACAGTATACATTTATATAAGTGGTTGTCTAGTGCGCTTAGGGTGTTAGAAGGCTCCCCAAACCAGACGGGGTATAAGCCATTTTGTTTGGAGTGTTTCTAACTTTGTAGTTGAACTTCCGTTTCTCTTCTTTTCTGAGGCATCCTTGCTATTTCGGCAGGTATAAGTTCCACCTCTTGGAGCTCCAGTTTGTAGTCATAGGATAAAATTTTCTTCCTTTGAACTTTGGGCTATCGAGCTTCCTGTGGACGACGCAATTCATGGATTGTTGATCGAGGATCTCAGGAAGTGTTGGGTCGACTACCTTCACGACCGGGTAGACTTAGGGTCCTAGTAGTTGTGGATGACGGGTTCGTAGTACCCCGTCCCAATCATCTCTACCTTTAAGGATCACTTTGCCTCCCTTTTGTTGAGCCCCTTTAAGCCTTATCGCTCCTTGACTTCGTTGATATCATTTTGACGGCCCGATGCCGATGAGCTGTCTCTCATTTTGGATACGATTTGTCATCTGCCCTTATGGATCGAATGTGTTTTTACGTGTTGGGATATCCTCGTCAAGATGATTAGGTTATTCTATGGGCTCCGTGTGCCAATGAGTCGTTACCCATTTCGGGATGTGAGAGACTCACTGTTTCCCCGATAGCTTAGTGCGAGCTTTGAAGCATCGAGATTGTTCCCACACGGAATAAACTTCCTTTGAGTGCCTATTTCCCCAGTTCACAATAATTCAAGCAAACTCCTTTTATCGAGAGTATTCTTACGTACCCCCCAAGAAGTAATTAACTAAGTGGGATACGTCCCCTTGGGAGTGCTTTTGACCCCATAACAGACACCTACATCTGACTCTCTGGTTATGGGTAGTTTATGTAGGTATTCTTTCGCGGATATCGGTTTAAGGTGTTTTCGACCGATCTTGTTTGAGCGAATACTCTTAAACTATCCTTGCGAGGTTTACCGCACATAGGCTCTCCACGTTTTGTGCTTTCTCTTGTTTGTCGATTTGTTGTATGTCCCTTCTTATTCGGTTCCTCTTCTCTTCGAATGAGTGATCCGATTTGAGAGGGAAATTTATTCGAATGAGGAAAGCATACGACGATCGACAAGCTGACGACTCCTAAAATAAAAGAGAAAATTGAATGAAAACAGACAAATCAACACCCGACATTAACAAACTTTGCAAGGGGTGCATCAACGATAGTCTAGTGCCTTAGCTATGGTGTTAACTATCACTAACGACAAAACCCTACGAGAAAAAACAACTATGATGACCATATATACGAAATACCGCTCGTCAGCAACTTGTAACACAAAATATACCCATTGCAACAATTGACATGTTACAAATAGGGGACATCCCTCCCCTTTACAACGAAACAAAACAAGAGAGAAAATAGAATACAAAAAAGATAAACAAAAGCATACAGAGCAAAATTGTTCTACACCTAGACATTCGAAGACTCCCCAAAGTCTGCCCTCCTTGCCTCCTCGACACCACCAGCTCCTGATATGTGGATTCCTCCTAGCTCTCGAAATCTGAAAGAATTTATTAGAACTCCATACTTTGTCATTTTGGGTTCCATGATATTGTGCTTTACGAATCTCTCGGTAGCAAAGGAGGTGCCGACCGCGATCTGGCGAGAGAGACCCTCAATGCACGCCTCTTTGAAGATCACTAAAGACATTTTCTCCTTAAGCTCCTCGTCTCCTTCTAAAGAGCAGTCATGCTTCCTCCTACTGTTGGGTGTCCATCTGTCCCCTTTCGATGAGGAGCTTCAATTGCACTTCCACGTAACCAGTTTCCGTTTCAGCTTGCAGACTTTCGAGATGGATCGCCCGACGTCCTCCTAGACCTTGTCCAAGAGGAAGGCCTGGAAGTGTAACGCATGCCGAGAGAGAGATTGGTAGCGGTCAACCATCTGGAACACATCCCTCTCTCCATCGACCGCAAGTTCCTCGTAAAAACGGGAGACCAAAATGTGTTGACCAAGACGGAAGGATAATCTTTATTCAGTTGGTTCACAAGGAACCACTCAATCTCCCTGTCAATGAGCGTATAATGGTCACTCGTCCAGAAGCTGGCTTCTTGGTGATGCGGGAACAACCATTCGGACAGAACCACGCCCTCCTGTGTGAGGGGCAAGCCAACATCGGAGACGGGGACCTTTCCTTCCCTCCTAGAGATGTCACTCTCTGCCCAATTTGCAGCCCCTCGCCCGTCCTCAGAGTCAATCCCGACAAAAATGGGGCGTGAGGCACGACTCGCCTCACCCGCTCAAGCAGAGGGATAAGCGGAGCTCCCCCTGCTGCCAGAGGACACGATGAAGAACTCCCAAACTCTGGAGGGCTAGGTAGACGGGAAGAATCCCCCTCGCTACCATCCGAAGAACCTGAAAAATTTCACAAAAATTATGAGAATATACCTCCCGCACAAACAAACAAAAGAGTTGGTAATACCAACCCCCATCGAGCTTCTCGACTGACCTGACCAAGCCAATTCAACCCCAGGCTCTGCCGATCGAGAGGGGACTGCCTCTCACACGGGGCCACTTCAAAACATGCCGCTCTCTGACAACCCTCTCGCTAGCAACCTCCCTGTCGTCCGCTAAACTCTACAAATCCTCCTCATGGTGTTTGCGTCGTCCAGTTGGATCATTTGCTCAATCACTTCGGAATTGAGGTATTGGAACAGGGAGAGACTCTCTCCCTCGATCAGTGCCCCAAAGTCTCGAACTTTCCCAGGCAGTGTCTTCACCTTCCTTACCTCACACGGTGGGCAAGGTGTGGATTCCCCATCCGTCCGAGCATGAAGTGATCAAGAACTTGATCTTCGAGTCCTTTATTTTATTCTCCAGCCCCAGATACTGGATATTGGTGTCAGCGGCGAACTGGACGTAGCCATCACGGTCGATTCGATAAGAGAAGTGGTGGAACAGCTCGATCGACAATGGGATCCTCATCCTCTGACATAAGAGAACATATGTCATGATGGTGGCAATCGAGTTCGGAAGAACTTGAGCAGAAATAATACCGGAAAGTTTAAGGATGGAACACAGCTCTCAAAAGAAAGGCGGACTCATGGGAATACTTCTGGAACATGATGCCTATCACGTTGGACGGAAGAGAAGGAGAAACAATAAAAGTGAAAAGGGGAAAATAAAAAAGAATGGAAGTTCTAAAAAGCAAAGGACCCATACATATATATACACACGCGAACTATCTCGGAAGTCAAAACGCCGCCGACACGACTGAACTACATGACAACCAAGTAATCATCACCAAAATTCATAAAAATATTTTTTTAATTTTCTTATTATATACAAGAGATAGGGGATGTTATGCCTAACCCTCATTTACATCTAAGAAAGAAAAAAACCACACTAGACGGTTGTTCGAGGCGTCGCCTGAGATAAACCCATTCGTCTGAGCATAAGAAGGTAACCTCTCTCAGCTAGCAAGCATCTCCCTCCGGAAGACCGTGAGCTCCTCATGCAACCCCACAATTTCTCTCTCCACTTGCTCGACCCTCTCGGGTAATTCGGCGGCCCTTTCATCACCTTCTCCTCAGGGGTACCACATGAAGAAGAGGAAGCATTCCCCCGCCTCAGCGACGCAACGGAGTATGAAGTCCGAGGACACATGTCGCCCTCCTGTCGCCTCCTCATCCCTCGCAGCTCTGAGGAGGGTCTGATGGTTGTCATCCTGAGCTCCAAAATTCGGACCTTCAGCACCTCGCTCGGCACCTTGCACCGGTGCGCTGAGCCCACCATGTTCGCTCCCTGAAAAGAAAGGATCAAAAAGGCTAATCAAACTACAAACTAAGAATCTGCCCTCACTCAAAAGAGGAATAAGAAAAGAGATCATCAACCGCTATTTTCGTCCTCCACCTTCCAAGGAGAAGTTGCTCCTAGCCTGGCGAAGCCACATCTCAGCCTCAGTCGTCGCCTCCTCAATACTTCTTTGGGGAACCATGACTCCCGCAACCGCCTGGGCAGATAATCTTTCTCCCGCAACAGGAACATTAATCCCCAGCAAGTGCCCCCACAAGAGGGTCGTCTGGAGGGCCTCTTACTAGTCCTACAGACCTCTCCTGAGTGAGGCCTGCAAGAAGATCAAGAGAAACAGGCTGAGTCTCGCGATGCTTGTACACAACTCTCTTCCTAATCACTACTTCCACAAATGTCTCACCTGACGACTTGCGCTTCACGTTTAACTTACCGGCTTGCGCCCGCATGTCACTCATCTCTTAAGAAGCACGCTCTTATCGGAGACAACGCGGATAACAGGTAGAGAGGAAGGCACGGGACAAAGGAATCTAAAGGAACTAAAGCAGTGTAGACTTCTCTTGCCCCAAATCCTATTTATAATGGTCTAGGCACGAAAATCCAAGAAAGTTCATTATTGCACAATAATATCATTTATTTATTTATTTATTTAGGTATATGTGATGTTCTAGACAACTTACGAGGAGCAAAAAAATCGAGAAACTAAATATGTTCACATAAGAATGTGCCTGCACAAATCTCAAAGCAAATAGATGACCCTGGAAGGAAGCACGACCGATCGAATGTCACAATAGACAATCGTTTCCAGAAGAACAGCAACAGAGAAAATATCTTACCGAACAATAGACAGAAGATGTCAAAAGAAAGCCCCTCAAGACGGTCATCAGCCTTCAGAACGATCAATGGAAGCACTTCGCCGGACCATGAATCTATCGAACCATGACCTATCAGACGATCGGCGATTCTTACCGAACGAATAGGTCCTGGGCTTTATTATATGCAAATAATATTGTTAATTACTAAAATACCCCCCTGAAAGGTTAATGATTATGAAGTTAATATGTGTTTTTGTAATATTGAGACCTATGCCTATAAATAGGAGAGTCATATTATGGATAAAGGACACTTATTGCTTGTTTACTACTACTCCCTCTCTCTCTCTCTCTCTCTCTCTCGCTTAAGTGCCTCCTAATAGAACGTTTCATTCCTTCGATGTGTTTCCTCGAAATATCGGATTCAACACCTAGAATCTTCTTCTTAAGACTAAATAGAATATTATAGAATATTTGAGAAATAAGCATCAATCTTATCATATTCTAACTGCCCAATGTGAGGCTAAACCCAAAGTCTCATTTTCCTCAACATAATAAGGCTTCCCTATCGAAGTTGAGCCTCGAGAGACGTATGTGCCTTTATCACTAATTGCAAATAGGCTATTTTTGTGTTGCAAATAGGTTATTTTTGTGATTCAGGCCAGCAAACTCAAAATAACAAAGAATACAAACCTGAACGTTGCTTCAGACTTGCCCTCACAACACTCGAACTACTAGAAATCGAATTTTAACAGCTTACGTTTGGTTAGTTCATATATATTCTATTCATCAAGGCAATCTTTATGAATCTTTATGAACTAAATAAATTATTTTTTAACAACACTATCGCTACCATTCTCCAATGGCCTCAATTAATTCTAATTCTATGCTTAATCATCATAAATTGAAACAACCGAACAATTAACTTAATCTGTCGCTATAAAGTTTCCAGTCGCTAGTTTATCATCCATGCAGTCAATTTAAATTAAAGGTAATTTTAAAATTACCTGTAGTGGGTACTTTTTGAAAGCTGGCTGATAGCGGCTCTTACAAAATTTATGAAACCAGATCGTCAGAATAGGAAGAGCAATGAGGAAAGGCGTTGAATCAGCAGCCTCTTTGGTGCTCAACAGACCAAAAAGAAGAACTTGTGAAATGATCAGCGCAGAGATTATGCGGTCATGGACATCCGGCCAGAACGCTCCTGCACTTTCATATTCTTGATTATAAACATTTATTACCTAAACAATGCATTAACAGTGTTAGCACACAATTATAAGGAAATAAAGATATGTTTATGAATCTTAATGAAACATATTTAAAAAATTTTATCGCTGATGGAATGCTCAAGGAAGCAATTAATTGAACAGAATTGTCTGCCCATTTTGTGAATCAAAAAGTTTCTACAGAAGCAAAATGGTAATATTATATCGGAATCAAGAATTTTTTATAAGTAAAGCATAGTATGATAAATATAGGCAACGCGCATGATCAAGAAATTCTGAGAAAACAGTGGATTAAAAAATTTAGCAATGAAAAAAAAAATAATTCAGTATTTCCTTGTACACTCGTCTGATAAAGGCTGCTCAATGGACCAAAAAAAAAGATTATACACCTAGGGTTATCAAATCTAATTAAAATTAAATAAGTAAACTGACCTGAATGTTGAAAAATGATCGATTTATATGGTAAGAAAAATGTGTGATACATTCAAATCTCTGTGGGGACTCATTTGACATAAGCTAATTGAAGAAACTAACAATACTCAACCAAGTGCAATCGTATATGCGATTAATGAAACTTAAATTAAATATATTACAGTTTTAACACTGTATGGAAGCTATATATTTATTGAGAGGTTTGATGGAGAAGTACAAAGAACAAGAAGGAACTAAATATGATTTTTGTTGATTAAGTAAAAGCATGTGATAAAGTTCTAAGAGAAGTTCTTTGGAGAATTCAAAGTCATTAAAGATAAGTATACTAGAGTTGTTACTTGTGTTCAAAAAGGAGGAGGATCGACCCAGCATTTTCCTATTTCAGTCAGATTACATCAAAAATGGGCTTTAAGCCCATACCTTTTTGCTTCACTTTTGGTTGATCTTACTGGACATTTACCTTGATGCATGCTTTTCCCTGACAATATCATTCATTTGGATGGGACTAGAGAAAGATTTCAGTAAGAAATTGAATTATGGAGATGAATTTTTGAGTCTAAAGGCTTTCATTTGAGTAGATCTAAAGTTGATTACAAGGAATATAGTTTTAATAGTGGTAGATCTAATGTTTGGGTTGTCACAATGAGTGATCAAGTCATTAAAAAGAGTGAACATTTTAGATATCTTGGGTCTATTGTTCAAAGTTCTATTGTTTCTTGGGTCTATTGTTCAAAGTGATGGTGATATAGATAGGGATGTTATTAGTAGAATTCAAGTTGGATGGTTGAAGAGAAGGAATGCCTATTGTGTGATAGAAAAATACTGCTTAGAAAGAAAATTTTATAAAGATGATGGTGAGACTTACAATGTTTTATGGTGCAAAATGTTGTTCTGTCAAGAGAAGCATAACACCAAATGTTTCTCAGACGGGAATGCTTATATGGATGAGTGGCTTTACTCTTAAAGACAATGCAAAATGAATACATTGGTGAAAGGGCTGGCATAACTTCAGTGACAGACAATATTAGATAGAGTCGCTTATAGATGGTTTGATCACATTAAACATCAACCATCTGATGATCAAGTTATGAGAGTCGATGTCTTAAATTTGACGTACAATAAGAAAGATAGAGGTAGACCTATAAAGGAGTGGGTATGTTGTATAACGAAAAAGATCTTAATTTATTAAAATTAAATGAAAATATGACTCAATATGACACAATGGAAAAAAAGGATTCATGTAGCCGACCCCACTTAGTGGGATAAAGACCTGTTGTTGTATACTTTAACAATATAAGATATTTTGATTTAGTCATGATCAATTAGATCATAAATGAGAGTGTCACGACCCAACCTCGAGCTTTGAATTAACCAAGAGGGAAACAGACAGTCAAACGGTGAATATAAGTTCTATGTTATTCTACTTCTATCACTAACATTTTAATAATCAAATATTCATAAAAGAGCCACTAAACATTGTTGTTCGCGCCTACTATTCACATTTTCTCCTTTTCTATTCATTTTGTTCAAAATCTTATAACATAAAAATATTAAAGCAACAGAATGAGTTATCTAAAGATAACTCGGAAATAATCACACTATTAAACTACAGTAATCAAGGAAAATAATTCAATATGCAAGTTGATATTTTTTATCTCTATAAGAAATCTTATAAAATGCTAGTATTTCATAGTTTTATAAGAAAATCATATATGAAAATGAATGCATCAAAGACATTTTCTAAGTGAAACTACTCAACCCTTCTACATGCATTTACATACAAATTTGTTTGTTTGAGAACTGCCGTCAAAACAACCTAACGCACCCCTGACCAATATTATTGTCGGCACAACCGTTAGTGATCTAAACATCACAATTGGCTGGGGTGGAAAACTCTTACTTGCACCTAGCTGATATTATCTCGTCGACATAACGATTAGCTATATAAACATCATAATTATCTGGGGTGGTAGGTGGGGTGTAAACGAGCTTGAGCGAGCCCGACCTCGATTCGCATTTGGCTAGTTAAAAAATATCATTATTCGTGTTCAGCTCGTCAATATATCAAGCACAAAAAATTTGCTCGTGTTCAGTTCATTTGCTTAGAGAGCCAAACACGCGTTATTCACAAACAACAAGTCGTTTTGACATATCCCTAGCCACATAGCGTATGATGTTAAGAGTATGCACGAGATTTAGATCTTATTATTCATATTAAAATATTTAATTATCCAAGCCCAAAAAAGTCGAATGAACAAATCTTTGTTCGTGTTCGACTTATTTATATATTGAGTGCAAAAAATAGTTTGTGTTTGACTTGTTCTCATAGCGAACAAAATGAACACAAGCAACTTAACGAGTCGAACATAAGTTGTTCGCGAGCAACGAGCCGTTTTCACAGCCTTATTGGTAAGCTCTATCTACTCACCCATAACCAATATTATTCAGCCGACACAACGGTTAGTGATCTAACTATCACAATTGTCTGGAGTGGTAGAAAAATTGCTATGAATGTGTATATACTGACATCCTCTGTCTGTACCATTAGAGGTTAAATTTTTCTGAACATGTACATACAAGCATTCAGATATTCATATATAAACTATTTCATTTTTCAAAACATACAATCTTCTAAGATATTTTCATGCATCTACCAACATATATACATACTCTGTAGTGCAACTATTCATCATTTATACCTCTCATATCATTCATTTCTTTTATTTCTTACATATCTCTTACTTATATCATGCATATCTTTTTTTGTGGTACTTATTATGTATATTTTTCTATCATGTTTATCTTGAATATCATGTATATCATATATATCATGCATCTCATACATATTTTTCATGCATATGTATCATGTCTAACAATATACAGAATCTAATTAAACTAGAACATACATTGTCTTATAATCGACTTACGTTAAGAAAGATAGAGGTAAACCTAAAAAGGATTGGGTATGTTGTATAACCAAAAAGATCTTAATTTATTAAAATTAAATGAAAATATGACACTCAATATGACACAATGGAGAAAAAGGATTTATGTAGCCGACCACACTTAGTGGGATAAAGTCTTATTCTTGTGGTTGTTGTTGTATACTTTAACGTTATAAGATATCTTGATTTAGTCATGATCAATTAGATCATAAATGAGAGTGTCAAGACCAGTCCGGGGCTTTGAATTAACCAAAAGGAAAACATACGATCAGACAGAGAAAACAAGTTCTTTGTTATTCTACTTTTATCACTAACTGTTTAATATTCAAATATTCATGAAAGAGCCACTAAAAAAAACAAATAATAAAAATTTGTACATTTACCATTATTGTTCGCGTCTCTATACACATTATCATTTTCTATTTATCTTGTTTAAAAGCTTATAACGAAGAGATATTAAAGCAACGGAATGAGTTATCTAAAGATAACCCGAGAGTAATGACAATATTAAACTACAGTAATCAAGGAAAATAATTCAACATGCAAGCTGACATTTTTTATATCTATAAGAAATCTTAGAAATGCTAGTATTTCATAGTTTTATAAGAAAATCATATATTCTAATGCAAACATCAATGACATTTTTTAAACGAAACTACTCAAAAATTCTATATGCATTTACATACATATTTGTTTGTTTGATGATCACCTTCAAATCAACCTAACGCAGCCCTGGCCAATATTACCTTATCGGCACAACCGTTAGTGATCTAAACATCACAACTGGCTGGGGTGGAAGAACTCTTACTTGCCTCTAGCCGACCGGCATAACGATTAGCGATGTAGACATCACAATTATCTGGAGTGGTAAGTGAGGTGTAAACGAGTTGAGCTTGAGTGAGCCCGGGCTCGATTCATATTTGGCTAGTTAAAAAATATCATTATTCGTGTTCAGTTCATCAATATATCAAACGCAAAAAATTTATTCGTGTTCAACTCATTTGTTTAGAGAGTCAAACAAGAGTTATTCTCAAACAAGAAGCCGTTTTGACATCTCTAGCCACATAGGCGTATGTTGTTAAGGGTAAGGACGAGATTTAGATCTTATTATTCATATTAAAATATTTATTTAAATGGAATTTAAAAGATTTGTATTCTATTTTTTAATTAATAATTTTAATTGATTATAAGTCTTTGTAGTCGTAGTTAATTAAATTATTTGAAAAAAATACTCATCAATTATATATATATAATATTTATATATTGAAGCCCAAAAAAGTTGAACAAACAAATTTTTGTTCGTGCTCGGCTTGTTTATATATCGAGTGCAAAAAATAGTTCACGTTCGGCTTGTTCGCATAGCGAACAAACTTAACACGAGCAACTTAACTGTTTTCACACCCCTAGTGGTAAGCTTTATCTACTCACCCTGATCAATATTATTCAGCCGACACAACAGTTAGCGATCTAACTATCACAATTGTTTGGGATGGTAGAAAAACCACTACGCATGTGTGTACACTGACATCCCCTGTCTGTATCATTAGAGGTTAAACTTCTCTGAACATATGCATACAAGCATTCAGATATTCATGTATAAACTATTTCATTCTTCAAAACATGCAATCTTCTGAGACA